AAAAGAAGGAAGGGAGGATCTGATACCATAGGAAGATCAGTAGAGTAGAAGGAGATGAAGAGGGAAAGAGGAATGGAAAAAAGGAGGAAATGCAAAATGAATTTTTTTTTAAATCATGCTATGTGTATATATAAATATACCACAGGGAATTCCATGTTTATGTATGTCTATAAAGTATCAGTTGAAAATAAATAGATAAATAAGTAGAAGACCAGTGGTGTGGAGGAAGGAGATTAAGGGAAGGATGGTGGGAGGGAACGGGGAAGTACCATGGAGGCTGAATAAACCATATTATATTCCATGCTTTTATACTATGTCAAAATGAAATCTAATGTTAGGTAAAACTGAAGAGAATCAATAAAAATTTATAACAAAAAAAGTTTTATGAAAGTTTGCAGCAGTTATGGCAACATTTATTCATAACCACGAAAATCTGAAGGGAAAAATCTAAACATTCATCATCCAGTGAATACAGACACTGTGACACATCCATACAATGATATATTATTTGGCAATAAAAAGTAAGGAATAAAATAAACTAGATTCAAACAAAGTTCATATGACTCACTGTATGACTTTCTGGAAAAGGCAAAACTATAGGGATATTAAACAGATTAATGGCTGCCAACATTTGGAGTGGATGACAGGGTTAACTACAAAGGGGTAGGATGAGGGATGTTTTAGAGTGATGAAACCTTTCTTTATATTTTTTATTTTTTTATATTTTGGTACTAGGAATTGAACCCAGTGGTACTCTACCACCAAACTACCTCTCCAGCACTTTTTTTATTTTTAATTTTGAGACAGGCCCTCGCTAAGTTGCTGAGGCTGGCCTCCAACTTGTAATCCTCCTGCCTCAGTCTCCTGAGTTGCTAGGATTACAGGTGGGCACCACCACACCCAGCCCTTTCTGCATCTTGATTGTGGTAGTGGTTACATGATTGCATTCATTTGTCATGACTCAAAGCAATACACACCAAAAGAAATGAATTTTACCATACACAATTTTTAAAAACCCATATCTCTGCATGTCTTTTTGCATTATGTGATAATTCTAAAAATATTGCAGAAATATAATATATAAGCATGTATAAATTTATGAAACTTTAAGAAAAAAGCATTAGTGGTGAGCCAGGTAACCAAAAGGGAAGATCTGAGTCCATCTATTAGCAGGAAGAAAAACAAAGGCCTTGTTAAAAAGGTAAAATAGATAATAGAGGAGAGGTACCTGATTGAGCAAGGCTGTAAAAGAAATGAAAGGGAAGAGGGTCAAGTACAAAAGTGTCTGAGTTCTAAATGTCTTTCAATCATAGATTGTCAAGTCTTCCTGGGTGCCCCGAGTGGGTAATACCCTTTTCCTTCTCTGCTCCCCCACATCACTTTATACATATTCCTCTTATAACTCTAATTCCTATTAACAGATAGAACTGTCACTGGTTTACATATCTTACCATCCCCTCCTCCTACTCCAATAACCCACTAGGTTATAAATCATTTGAAAGCAGAGTTTCAGGAGCATTTCTCATGCAGTGTCTAGCAAAATGCCTGAATATAGTGAAAACAAAAACAAAACCCAAAACCCCACAGTAAGGATGATGAATAAGTAAATAATGCAGGGAACGATAGATGGTTTTTTGACTGTTTCTTGCATGTGATATCCCTTGTATTATAATTCACTGTAATGACTTTTGTACAGTGGTACTTTGTTGCCAAATATATTCAGTTTGCATTCATCTGAGTCTTGAACTGGAAGCAACAAATATCTGAAAAATTGTCAAGGACACATCTCTCTTACACAAATGTAATAAAACATTCAGGAAAGACCACCTATTTGACTTCCTTTGAAAAAGAATTATAGAAAAAAAATGAAGGCTCTATTCAAAGAAGTGAGGGGAAGGAGTGCATTAAGCTTATTTAAAATCAGTCAAAAATTCTGAGGTACATAGATTTGATGTGCAATCTTGTAATGTTGAATCCTTTCGATGATTTTATCTTTTTCCCTAGAGTTTAGAGGGAAATGAGCCTTATATAGATAAAAGATTATCAGTCTACTGAATATGTCATTGAACTCATCATTTATAGCATTATACTCAGTCACAGAGCATTGTTAAAGCATTTGATCTTTTTCTGCCACTAACTGGTTTTTAATGTCCATGTCACTGAACTGCCTCTCTAATACTTTCAGTATAGGACTTTTTCCCTTATTGTGATACACTTCTAACATTAAAGACATGGGGATGTTGTTACAAATAAAAATAAAAATACCCAAACAATTAAGATATAATTAATTACTATTTTCTTGAAAACAAAATAAAATTAAACAAAAGACTGTCTTTCAGAACATATCCAGAGGAGAATTTTTCCTTTCTATGAATGAATAAAACATGCTATGGATTGAATTATGCTTTACCCAAATTCATATGCTAAAGCCCTAACCCCCAATGTGATAATATTTGAAGATTGGCCCTTTGGGACCTAATTAGGGTTAGATGAGGTCAAGAGGGTAGGGCACCCATAGGATTAACAGCTTTATAAGAAGAAACCTCAGAAACCAATCTGTGGGGGGGGGGGGGTGAGCACACATGTATGTTCTCATGCATGTGATACATGTGCCATGTATGAGGATACTGTGAGAAGGCAGCTATTTGCAAGCCAGAAAGAGAGGCCTGACTAGAACACAACTATGCTGATACCGTGGTCAGACCTTCCAGCCTCTATAACTGTGCAAAAATTTCTGTTGTTTAAGTCACCCAGTTTATTATATTTTGTTATGATAATCCAAACTAGCACAAAAGCATATCAAGGAATTGGAAGTAAACCCTAAACATTTCAGCCCTTGATCAGTGAAATATTGTGAGAAGAGGACTGGATAGGTCACAGTGGGAGACACTCGGTTAGATATAGCTTGGCCTTGTCACTGACTTCACATATGACCTTGAAGTTGCCCCCTGGCTTGACCACCAATTCTGCATCTATATAAATAAGGGATTGGATGAGCTATTCTCACAGGCACTGCACAGCACCACCCCCATATCCACATTGACCATGACTGTACCTTGAAACTGCAGTCACTATTGATGCTGCAATAATGAGGGGAAAACAGGAAGAAACAGTCACTGAAAGCAGCAACAAGGAGAATAACAAAATATCCTGCAGAAATTGCCACTGTAGCATGATATGTAATGCAAATGCATAAAACAGATGAGCATTTATGAAATCTGCTTCAAAAACAAAGATCAAAATCAGATCTCACAGTACCATCGCCATCTCTTTGTACTAGAGATTACAATGTACAAACAGATGAAAGGAATGCAGACACACAGTAAGGGCACACTGCAGCTACAGAAAGCAGTGATCATTCATCTCCTTCCTACTCTTCACCACAGGGTACAATGATATTTTTCTAAAAGGAAGTCTAAGGAAGAATATAACTGCACAGGGAAAGAGAACGTGAGATACCCAGGGCATATTAGTGCTGTCAGCAAAAAAATCTGTCTTTCACTTTACACCTTTAAATGCTGAGGAAGTGAAAAACAGAATAGTTACTGCAGCAACTTGATTTAGTCCACTTTACAAATACTTTAGAGTAACTGAGGCACAATTACATTTTGATATGACAGCTCAAATTCCACATGCAACTTTTTTTATTTTTTTTTACTTTAGAGGCTTTTAATTTCTACATTGAACACACCAGCTTACTGGAATAACCATAGTAGTAATGCTTACTCTTATACATTTTAGCAGACACATATCCGGCAGGGGTTCCCAGAAGGGCCTATAACATAACAGCACAAGTCATTAAGGCACCTCAATTGGCAGGGGAAAGAAAACCAGAACTAAAGGCAGATATAAGAAATAGAAAACCAGTAACAAGAAGAGTCTCTAGAGTGGATAGGACTTTATAAGAAATTAAGAACAACCTTATTAGACACATTATACAAAACAGCACACAAGGAATTTTCTAATGGGAGTAGATAAATCATGATGCAAACAAATGTTATTCATTTAGCTACATTTTTTTTTTGCACTGGGGATTGAACCCAGGGGTACTTTGCTACTGAGCTTCATCCCCAGCCTTTTTTATTTTTTTATTTTGAGACAGGTCTCTTGAACTTGCTGAGGCTGGCTTCGATTTTGCCATTTTCCTGCCTCAGTTCCCGGATTGCTGAGATTACAGACATGTGCCATTATGCCTGACTTCACTTAGCTACTTCTTTGATTTTTTAATTCAAGGCAAATGAAAGTAAATTTTCAAGTTGAATTAGTCTTTCATTTTTACTAAGACAAAATTAATAAAATATATCCCCCTTCCCTACTCCAGAAGTCACTCCAAAAGTAACAAATCATTTTTCCCCATGAAATTTTCCTTCTATTTCTCTGTATTCCAAGTGAGGAATAAAATAATAAATCAGTGAGATGTTGTTTCAGGGAAAAAATAGCCTTAAAAGTTGAATTTTGAAATATCATTGACATTTGAAACACCTAATGAGCCATTTTTTTACAGCAGCTTTGTTTATGAAAATCACTACTCTGGCTATCAAAAACTGACAAGCTCCATTTTTAGTTTATAAATGAAGGCATCTGAGGTTCATAAGCTATTATGAGACGACTAAAGATGCCATTCCATTTATACACTTAAAGACCATCGCTTAAGTTGGCCACAGCATATCAAAATGCTAGACTTTGTACATGAACCCCCTGAACCCACTTAAAATATGATTCTACTCACTTACTGGTTTTCAAGAATGCATCTCTTTTGCAAAGCAAGAAATGTATGTATTGCAAGTTACAACAGATTATTCATGGCTGAAGAAGCTATAGAAGGTCCTTGATATAGATGCATATTCAGACTCATATCTTTAATTTTGACAAGACAGAATTATAAGTTGCAAATTTCCTTAAACTTTAGGACATTTTCAAAGTCCTTTGTACACATCAATAAAAGTTTAACACATAAGCAGTTCCCAACAAGCATTTAGAGTTTATCTGAGCCTACTCACATAAAGTAATAAATGTCATCATCACAATTTGCATTCCTTGACCCAGGAAGACTGATGGCAACATTCTATTCCTTGGGACCTGAACACATCTCTGTAAACAGCTTCTAACCAAACTTCTCTTGGGCTTCTTCCTGCAAATGAAAACTTCTTTAATAAACATATGAGCTACAATAACAGAAAGTTAGAAGAATTCAGAAAGTTACATGAAATGGAATTTTCCTCTCCAGACAGACTAACTGAAAACCAATAGCTTATTATGGATTTGGCAGGTCTGTGGAAGGTAATAACCCTGCCACATAAATGACTCACTCCCTTACTCTAATTTTTATATTGGAGGGTGTGTGTTAATTATAAAAGTACACAGCTGGCTGGTTTTTTTTTTTTTTTTTTTTTTTTTTTTTAATATTTATTTATTAGTTCTTGGTGGACACAACATCTTTGTTTGTATGTGGTGCTGAGGATCGAACCCGGGCCGCACGCATGCCAGGCGAGCGTGCTACCACTTGAGCCACATCCCCAGCCCCAGCTGGCTGGTTTTTCAAAAAAAGAAAGCAAAATGATTTAACTTATACAAGGAACTCAACCAATTTAATAGAAATTTAAAATTCGCCAATACAAGAGTCAAAATAGCATAAACAGTCTAATCTACATTACATAGTTTGCAATGTTTGGCACATTTATCTCATGCTTCAAATCAATGAGGTTTTTTGTTGTTGTTGTTGTTTGGTGATTTTGGGGGGGGGTTGTTTTGGTTTTGTTTTGGATACTAGGGATTTGTTTTGGAGACCAGAGGCACTTAACCACTGAGCCACATCCCCAGCCCTTTATATATTTTATTTTGAAACAGGGTCTTGCAGAGTTGCTTAGGGTCTTCTAAGTTGCTGAGACTGGCTTTAAACTAGTGATCCACCTGCCTCAGCCTCCCAAGCTGTTAGAATTACAGACAAGCCCCACTATACCCAGCCAATGATTGAAAAAAAAAAAAAAAATATATATATATATATATATATATATATATA